GACGGATGTAGACTTCAGTGGATACGCTTTAGAAAAATAGCGTTGGTAAAGTTCTTCGGCCAGGATCGAAACCGATGATCCTGTATCGATCAAAAATGGTACAGAGATTCCTTCTATTTCCAACGCTGCGTAAATTCCCTTCTTACGGCTCCAGATCTGACAAACACTTAAATGGTCGTCTGGATCAGCTGTATCGTTACCTTCCGCTACATGCTGAACATTCTTCTCAAACTTCCGCAATGACTTGCACACCTTTTCAAGATGGCCAATTTTCTCACATTGTCGACACCTATGTGCTTTGGCCTTGCACAGAGAGCTATTTGCAAGGTGTGCCGTAGAACCACAACGATAACATACTTGCTCTTTCGGAGATATGCGACTTTGACCGTGCATGTTATAGCAAGTACATGTGCTACAATGCCGTTCTCTGTGATTTGAAGTATCTTTTACACGATGAACTTGCAAGTCATTTTGTGCAAGTTCTCTTGCTTCATTAGTCGCTTGATCATGCTGTTTGGCAATGGTAAGAGCCTTAGAAAGCGTGAGAGACTCTTCCAGCAGAAGGCGTTCACGTAAGTATCCACTTGTGGTTTTCTCTATGAGCTGGTCGCGTATCATGTCGTCCGTTAGATCACCGAAATTGCATGCTCCTACAAGACTTCTCAGCGCGGTGACGTAATCAGCCGCAGTCTCACCTGGGGCCTGCGTACGTTGACGGAAACGGTGACGCGCTGCAGTGACGTTCAACGTGGTTTTGAAGTGACCTTCCAGCGTCGCGATGGCGCGGTCGAACACATCAGTACTAGGGGACGTTAGTGTACCTGCCGCAGCGCTCGCAGGCACGAGGCACGGGTCGTCAGTAGTCGTCAGAGTCTGGAAGATACGTTGTCCTTCCAAGCCCAAGCAGTTGAGCAGGATCGCCTTCCGACGAATGGCAGGTAGGTCGAAGGCGCCCGAAGCAACCATGTAATTCTTGAAAGCCTGGATCCATTGCTCCCATGGAATGTCCGGGTGTCCAGGTGACGACAGGAACGGAGGTGGCGGCTGTAGCCCCGAAATACTCATCGTAGAAGATGGTAGGCAATAAACGAGGGCACAGATGAGGTTCAGGCCGGTAGCACATGGGCTGGTGAATCCCATCTTCGTCGCCAAAATATGTTACATCGTGCATAATGAATAGCACAGCATAAACGGAGACATCTTGTTTTTTTCATCTTCTTCCTTCTTCCCCGTGGCGGCCACCGAGCGCGTGCCACCGCACAGCGCTGTAGTCGGTAGCGACGCCTTATACCACAGTAATACGGGCCGCGTCACTGTCTGGTTGTAGGCGCATCGACTCAAGTTCTTCGAGGCGCTGACAGGTTGTCGCAACGTCAGCAACGGTAGCCGGATTCTGGATTGCAAGGGCATTGAATGCGACGGGTCCAATCCCCTTAAGAAGCTGGCGTACCTTTTCTGACTCTGTCATTGGGGTGTCAACCCGGCGGCAAAGTGAAAGGACATCCTCGATGTAGGATGTATACGACTCCCCGATGTGCTGTTTCCGAGTCGCAAGAGCTTTCTTTGCGAGAGCTGAACGAACAGCCGGTGTGCCAAAGACATGGCGAAGCTGATCTTTGAAGGCTGACCAGTCGGGGATGTCGATGTAGTGGTTGAGGAACCACGTCTTCGCGACACCCGTGAGGTAGAATGACACGTAAGCGAGTTTGTAGGTGTTATCCCACCGGTTAGCAGCGCCGACACGTTCGAAATCGTCCAGCCATTCCTCCACATCTTCCCCGCGCATACCAGCGAAGGGATGGGGCTCACGCTGGAGGCTGTTAATGACGTGAAAAGGCGCGGCACGCGGTGGCGGAGTGGGAACGGCTGCAGCACTGACCTCTTCTTGGTGCGACATATTTCCGGACACCTGGCCCAAGCGGCGACCTGAACGTAGCTCCAGGGGGTAGAGTGGTCGAGAGGATGACGGGGGATCCAACAGCACGCTCCACCACGTATGAAGTCTTGGTTTGGAAGACCTTTATTAGGCCCGAAGAACCGGCAGCCGACAGCTGAGATGAACGGACCAAGATGATGATGCTACGTGACAACGATGAGGATGCATGAGCAACACATGATAATGATGATAATGTACAGATGAAGAGGATTGGTATACTAAATGCCCACAGTATGTACAAATGTTGCACACACAAACATATGTTGAAAAGTTGCAGATGGTTTTATATCGAGTTGTTTGCACTTGCGCAACGATGCCAACAAAAACATGAGCATTAAGAACACCAGAAGCGATAAGCTGGTAGTAAGCGCTGGTGCTCGCGAGGATAGTAGCCCTACATATATACATTAATCAACTCCAGTGCACGGCGCCCAACTACAATTGACGTTAAGCCGACGTGATAAATGTATCAGAAGAGTACATATGTAAGCTTCATAAAATCAGATAGCCAGCACTGCAACCACAACTGACGTTTCACAAACATTATAGGGTCTATTTGAAAAGCAGTACCGAGGCCTGGCGTGGCTTTGGGGTGGAATACTTGACTGGCACGCAGAACTCTGGGGTTCGACTCCTGCTGGGACCATTATATTTATTCTATCCATTAATTGTGTCAACGTTGCGAATTCGAACCTTTTATTAACTCTCACGCGTTAAAACTACCTATGTACGTTCCCGCAGTTCCTGGGCAGACAATAAGTTTCAATCACTCGTGTCACGTATACCCGCATACCAGTGGCACGTACCCTCCCGCGGTTATGTGGCACAGTTTGGCGGAAAGTGTTTCACAATGTACGTGATGAGATTGACACTATTCATGTCTTGGCCAGCGCGTCATATTTGTCGAACCCTCTTACTTTGCCATATTAATTTTGGTCCACGCCAAGTCAAGGAAGCACTCACGAGAGCACCCAGTTGTAAGGGGACGGATATGCAGTGTTATGTCACAGACATGGTCCCCGTTCGAGAGCGCTTCTTCTCACGAGATAGAGCGCTGTTCTAGCGAACTGTCCCCCCCCCCCCCACTACCAGCGCCATCTTCTCCGCAGAAGGCGGTACCATGCAGTTCCGGGCAAAGCGTCGCCTTCTCCGCCAAGTCACCGTGCCGTTCCGGGGAAAGCTTCACCTTCTTCTCCAAGCACCGGGAACTGGTCTCGTAGAAGAGACCAAAACGTTATTTAAGGACGTGCCGGCCCCATGTTTAAAGAGATTTTGCCCCAGCCGACGTTGTCGTGCGGACCGGCTCTGTACAAAGCATAACCTGCTATATAGTAAACCTTCCTTCCTGTTGCTGTTTTCAAAACTGATTGCCTTCCTTTTTGTAAATAAGTTTCAGGCAGCAAGGTTCTTTGACAGAATACTCGACTGCCACTCAAAGGGCCCGGGTTCAAATCCAATTAGATCTTTGGTATCTTTTTTCTCAACCTATTAGGTTAGCTTATCTGACCTAACCTTGTGTTGAGGAATGGGGAATCCGCAAGCTATGGTAGGGTACAGTAGATCCTTGAATCTGATGCTGATGCTGATGACCTGAGATGGATGGCGCTCACCCACAGAGGGGGATGGGCCAAGAACCGGGTGGCAGGATACTTAAATAAAACTAAAATGAAATTGAAGCGAATCTGAAAAATTAGTTTAGAGATAATAATGCCAATAAACAAAAATGTTTGCTGAGCAAGCGGTCAAACCATCTCTTGTTTTTGACAGACATCGCTACGAATTATAAACTAAATATCTGAAAAGGTTAGGGTTCACTAGCACGGTAATCATTTAGTGGCGTTGATGTAATCAAACACAGTGGAGCATATATCCCTGGCAGTGATATGGCAGTAGCCATATGAAGTGCCGCCAAGTGATAAAAGTATTGGTAGATTTACTTGTATTCCTAGCTTTTACAATGGGGCTACTAAAAATCTTTTTCTCTGATAAGAGTAACGATTACAGAATAAGAAGAAATGTTCAATTGTTTCAATTTAGTTGCAAAAAATGCACAGCGGTGACGCTTTGAGTCGAGCTTTGTTAAGGTAATAATTTAGTTTTGGAACTGCACAGCGCAGTCTGGTATAAGTGACTTGCGTGACCAACTGGCGAGATACACACCACTGTTTATTCCAGCAATACCTCAAATGCTCGAAATCTTTCAATCTGCGACACAAAACCACCCTGAGGGACTGATGATGATGATGGCCTACAAGCATGACTCATACTCCCTCTGGGGGATCGGCCAAGAAATGATATAGTTATATAGTGGATCACATACAACTTTTAAATCTAATGAATTTCAAAATGGTTATACGAAATCAAATTTTACTGATTGAGAGATTTGCAGTAAAAACCACCTTGATTCAATTAAGAATCTTTCTACAGCAGAACAGATATCCCGGTGACAATGACCTAATGAGGAGGTTCCCAAGAAGACAACAAGACAAGACAATATCCTTGACGATGTGGCGCATACCCATGCTGGGGGATTGGCCAAGAACCGGATAGTTTTCATGAATTTCTTCTTCAATAACAGATTAACCTAATGTATTTACGAGAAATGAAAGAAAGATGCAACAAGACGAATTTCATGGTTGAATTGTAAATAATCTGTAGTGTAATGCAATGAAGCGTCGTATTTGATTTAATATAATTTTGGAAATTTCAAAATCTACCGATCAATAATTTCAACACTTAAACCTCTTTGAACTTTTGACGAACTCCTGCAATGCGTCATCCATCTTCCCGTCGCTGTGGCCTAGACACAAAGCCCCGAAAGAAAGCACATTTTCAGCATTCAAATCTATTCCGAGAAGGTGGAAAACGGCACCTAAAGTGTTTTTACGTAAGGCAGGGAATCTATTACAATAAATGAGAAAATGTTCAATTGACTCATTTACTCCACAAACAGAGACTATACGGTGGACAGCATGATCATCTGCATCGTCGTCTTTGAGCATTCGCGTGCTGCACGTGGCACGTGGCGGTCCTGATCGGCCATTCCTAGGCCAGGAGGGACGTGATGGCGGCCGTGAACATCACGGCGTTCTTGTTCATAATCATGTACTATTTCGCAGTCGTTATCATCGGCGTCTGGGGAGGCCGCAAGGTGCTCGCGACACACACCTCCACGATGGGGCCGCACGGCTTCCACACATCCAAGCGCAAGAACGAAGACGACTTCCTGGTCAGGTTGTTCGTCGCCCACCGGGATTTGCCCCTGTTTCTTGGCATCGGGTCAATGACCGGTGAGTGAACGCATGTAGACCGGATAGAACGCATGGAAAGGTACAGGCGCTTCGCCATACTGGTGTGCTTGTAATGACGTCGCGGTGCGTAGGCTCCGCCTACTTCACTGTTCGCCACCGCCCTCTATGATCACATGACAACTGGCACAGCACCGCTGTGCTGGGAGGCAGCTTTGCATCTGCATCTGCTCTGACCTTAGAGGGTGGCGAGCATAGGCGTATCAGTCGGGAGGGGCAAGAGGGGCGCTTGCCCCCCCCCCCCCCCCACTCTGAAAAGTTTGGAAGGCTGCTCCCCCCCCCCCCCACTTTCGACAGTGATCACCCTTGGCTGCATGCTGGGGAAACCAACAAATAGGGCGGAGTCTAAGACTTCAAGTCCGATTTGAAGGAAATAACCTTCAGGAAAAAAGTGCCGTAAAAGTAGTGGGTACGAGGCGTTAAGCTGATCAGAGATGTCTGCACACAATCACAATTCTCGAAACAGCGCTACAGCATATCTCGCGCATGATCTCACGTGTACAACCCAACCGTAAAGGCATGAGAGAACAGTACACCCTCCGACCGGTCAAAACTCTCATCATCAGCCGTCTTACGTACTCACTTCCGTATCATAATGTGAGCATGGAAGGGAAAGAAAAAAAAAAACAAATCAGACCAAATAATACGAATGGCCTAGAACGCAGCCTCTTTTCCAAAATTTCAAAGTAGCTATGGAGTATTCGTAGGAGGGACCCGAATTCGCCCATTTGACTCGACCAGATATTACCACCGGTTAAAAAGTTGATTGTGTTAATTTCTATAAGTACTGCCGTAATTAATGTCTTCTGCCACAGGAAAGGCAACGCCACAAGTAGCACGCAGATACCTCGTTTTTTTAATTCTTAAATAATATTGGACACATTTATTGAAACACCCTCTATAGGTAAACACTGGTAATGTGATCGGTGACTAGCCTACTTGAATTAGACGCTCTCCGGCTATTATGGAAAGTTTTAGGCATTCTTCAGAACGTGATTGCGCTGATTATTGTGCGTGGACTGTATTTTTGTTCTTTGCACTCGCCACATCAACGGGGCGGATGACGGTTTGTTTTAACGTTCCCGCGTTTAAATTGCCCACGTTGGTGGTCACCGTTCTCATACCACCGCCCATGTTATACGGGTGTGCGACACACGTGACTGAAGAAAAGTTTCATGACATACACGACACGGTTTTCATGTTAGTTATGTCGGGACCGGACACTAATGTTCGTCATGCCTTCTTGCCTCCTATGCCATACACTGTGGTAATGTGGTAACTACGAAAGTACTAAAACGTAGGTAACCAGACAGACAGAAAAGTAGATCATCATCGTCATCATCATCATCAGCCTGCCTACGTCTGCAGGACAAATACGTCTCCCATGTTCCGCCAGTTAACTCGGTCCTGTGCTTTCTGCTGCCAATTTATGCCCGCAAACTTCTTAATCTCATCAGCCCACTTAAACTTCTGTCTCCCCCTAGTCCGCTTGCCTTCTTCGGGAATCCAGTTAGTTACCCTTAATGACCAGCGGTTATTCTGTCTACGCGCTACATGTCCAGCCCATGTCCATTTCTTCGTCTTGGCTTCAACTATCATATCCTAACCCCCGTTTGTTCTCTAATCCGCTCTGCTCTCTTCTTGTCTCTTAAGGTTACACCTACCATTTTTCTTTCTATTGCTCGCTGCGTCGTCCTCAATTTAGGCTGAACCCTCTTTGCAACTCTCCAGGTTTTTGCTCCGTAGCTAAGTACCGGCAGGATACAGGTGTTATACACCTTTCTCATGAGGGATAGTGGCAATCTACCTGTCATAATTTGAGAGTGCTTGCCAAATGTGCTCCACCCCAGTCTTATTCTTTAGTTACTTCAACCTCGTGGTCCGGCTCCACGGTTATTACCTGTCTTAAGTAGACGTAGTCTTTTACAACTTCAAGTGCACTATACCTATCTCGAAGTGCTGGTCTCTTCCGAGGTTGTTGTACAATACTTTCGTTTTCTGCAGATTTATTTTAAGACCCACCTTTTTGCTCTCCTTGTCTAACTCCGTAACCACGAGTTGCAATTCGTCCCCTGAGTTACTCAGCAATGCATTGTCATCAGCGAAGCGCAGATTATTAAAGTGCTCTCCATTAACTCTTATTCCTAACTGTTCCCACTCTAGGCCTCTAAATAGCATTGGGGAGATTGTGTCCCCCTGCCTTACACCCTTCTTGACTGGTATCCTGTTGCTTTCTTTATGAAGCACTATGGTAGTAGCTGATCCCCTGTAGATTTCTTCCAGGATGTTTATATATGCTTCATCGACGCCCGGATTCCGCAGTGTCTGCATAACTGCTGATATTTCTACTGAATGAAGCGCCTTCTCCTAGGCTATGAAAAGTAGATAAATATGCCCAAAGAATTTGGTTCCCGAAAAATTGCTTGGCATATAAAAAATGGCATTAAAAATTTATTGTATAATCAAATATATAACTCTGGGGCGGCCGCCATCGACATATTTGTATTAATGCTAAAGTTGTGAGATAACGTATAAAAACGCCGCGTGTAATACTACTACATACATAACACGCACATATGTGTGTTCCCAGTGCATCCTGCTTAAAAGTGAGTGTCTTTTTTATACACTTTTGAACAAATTGTCTGTGTATAAAAAGTCACTATAAAGTGGGAGCGGCGTCAATAAAGGCAAGTTCTCTTGGTATATATATATATATATATATATATATATATATATATATATATATATATATATATATGGGGGGGGGGGGTTGGATGGATGGATGGATGGATGGATGGATGGATGGATGGATGGATGGATGGATGAATGAATGGGTGGGTGGGTACTTCTGTAGGAGACAAGGTGTCCGTAAGGCCCCACGCCACGGTTTACATGAAGGTTGTTTCATAGAAAAGGAGAGAAGTAACCGGATATAAGATGTGTCTCGTCAAAGAGTACACCTCACCCATCCCTTGTGACGGACGGGGGCGGTATTAAAGTGACGAAATAAATAAACGCACCTGCGCATGTTCTCTAATGTACACTGGTACATTAGCCTGCGCTACCTTCAATTAACTTTGCTACCCTACACTGATGCATAAATACCACTTCGTGCCCATGTCGCGCCATGAAAAAAGCTGCGGAGTACAACTGCTACATCAGCACAACATAGTGACCCGTGTCTGCGTGCGAACGACAACGATGATGTGGGGATTTAGCAGACACCAAGTAGTGGGTCTCTGGCTTGACTCAACAACAAAGAAGACAATCTTGCGGCTTAGCTGTTGAAAACACGCTGCTCTCGCTGCCTCAAGGCGTACTTGTGCTTTGTTCGCGTTGTACTGCGACACTGGTGGAGGTGCTGGCCCGCGACACCACCTGATGCTCCACACTCCCACGGGGAGCCGTTCATCCAGCCCAGAAGCACTTGTCGACACTCCCGTGCATCGCTTCAGTCGTCGCTTGCGAAGCCTCCCTCCAGAGTTCACTCCTTCGCAGGAACACTCTACAAGGCAGCGCTCACATCTCCCAATGGCCACCGCCAGTCCACAACAGTTACTACGAGACAGCACTCCACCAACCCCATCTGAGGTAACCTTTTTTTCGCCGCTGGTGCCTGATCGCTTTGGTGGTGGAGCACATGAAGACGTCGAAGACTGGCTTGATCACTATGAACGTGTCGCCAACACCAACCAGTGGTCTCTTGAACAAAGGCTTTCCCGCGCCTATTTCTATCTCGACGACAGTGCTCGTACTTGGTACGAGAACAGAGAAGGCAGTTTGTCAACATGGAGTGACTTTAAAAGAGGGATGATTGACACATTTGCCGATGTTGACCGGCGCGAACGTGCGCAACATATACTCGAGCTACGGGTTCAGAAACCCAATGAAACGGTCGCAATGTACGCTGAGGACATGGCCCGTCTCTTCCGTAAAGCTGACCCGCACATGACCGACGACAAAAGTTACGCTACCTCATGCGTGGCGTTAAAGAGCAATTGTTCGCCGGACTTTTGCGGAACCCGCCAAGCACCATGACAGACTTCATCAAAGAAGCTACGGCTATCGAGCGGGCGCTTCAACTACGATGCCGACAATACGATCGCTTGTCCAGCAGCACCCACACTCAACTCGCCGCTACGACATCTGATAATCACAGCTCGTTACGCGATTTAATACGAGAGATTGTTCGCGAAGAGCTGCTGAAGCTGCGGACTATGGTCACGGAACCACCCACGGCGTCTGTCGCTGAAGTCGTCCGCGAAGAAATACGCCAAGCGTTTTCGGCAGCTGATCCTACTCACGATCAGCGACCCATGAGCTACGCAGCCGCGCTTCGCCGGCCGCCGCCCGTTCCGCCGTCGTACCGCCAGCCATCGACAGCCGTTCCTTGGTCGCCACCGCAAGAACAGACACCGCGGCGCCCTTCCGTCGTGCCACCGTATGAAATGCTGCCGTACGAAGAGCCGTCTCCCAACGAGACACGGCATTTACAACATTATGAGCCGCTGAGGCGTCCACAGCTCTGTAAAACAGACGTCTGGCGCACCGTGGATAGACGTCCGCTTTGTTTTACCTGCGGAGGTGTTGGCCACATTTCTCGTCATTGCTGGCACCGCGTCGACACGTTTCGACCTCTTCGGCAATGGTCTGACGATCGACGCCCCAACGACGACTACCCACCACGCCGGGACGCTGAGTCTCAACGACCTTCCTTGTCTCGGTTCCATTTTGACAACCGCCGAGCTAACAATGACGACGGTGAGCCTAATTACCAGCCAGGCTTGGGACGTCGACCACGTTCTCCGTCTCCGGCATATTCGCCTTCGTCGCGCCACCGCACTACAGCCGACGCCAGCGGAAGGAGGTCACCAAGTCCACGCCGGGGAAACTGAAGGCGGCGACCTCCGGGGGTGAGGTTCAGGCCGCCAAGGCGACGAAAAAAGGCCCCCGTTACTCTTGCCACAGGACGCCGTAAAGCCGACTAGTTGTAATGTTGACGAAACTGTGACCACAGATCTTACCGTTTTTGTAGACGGACAGCAAGTAACAGCCTTAGTTGACACCGGTGCCGACTTTTCTATCATAAGTGAAAACCTTGCCGTGCGCCTAAAAAAAGTGAAGACTACGTGGACGGGACCTCACCTGAGGACAGCAGGCGGCCAGCTGTTGATGCCTGTCGGAAGGTGTACAGCGAGACTCGGCATCGGCAGCTCTTCTTTCGTGGCGACGTTTGTCATCCTCACCTCATGTTGCAAGGACCTGATCATAGGGATGGACTTCTTAAGAGAATATGGTGCCGTCATCAACATCCCGGACCGTTCAATTACGTTCCGCAACAGCCCTGGTATGGTTGACTGTTCAGACGCAATACGTAACACTTTACGTATAATTGATGATGATGTGGTCGTCCCGCCACGGTCATGCACTCTTGTTTCGGTGGAAGGGCACGAAGCGTTTGATGGCGAAGGCATTGCCGACCAAATTGGCTCGCTGCTATTTAGCCATGGCATTTCGGTCGCACGAGGTATCGTCCGTCTCACTGGTGGGCGCACGAATTTACTTTTGACCAACTTCAGTACTGAGCGCCGGCACCTTCCGAAGGGCACAGCTATCGCTTCTTACGACAATATCGTAGACATGCGAGGCAGTTTATGTTTATCGGTATTAGACGAAGCGCCTAATCAAGAACCAGAACCCGTTCTCGATGTTAGTCCCACTCTGTCAGAGGATGACCGACAGAGACTTCTTCAGCTACTAGCCGAATTCCACGACTGCTTTTCATCGACCTCACGAGTTGGTCGAACACCTTTGACAAAGCATCGAATAATCACCGAGGACACGGCGAGACCTATTCACCAGAACCCTTATCGTGTAGCTTTAAAGAAACGCGAAGCCATACAACAACAAGTCGAGAAAATGCTTGAAGATGATGTAATTCAACCGTCACAGAGCCCCTGGGCATCGCCTGTAGTGCTAGTAAAGAAAAAGGACGGCACGCTGCGTTTTTGCGTGGACTACAGGAAGCTGAATCGGGTGACCAAAAAAGATGTGTACCCGCTCCCACGTATTGATGACTCCCTTGACAGACTTCGGCACGCTCGCTACTTTTCTTCCATGGACTTGAGGAGTGGATACTGGCAGATCGAGGTAGACCCAAGAGACCGAGAGAAAACCGCTTTTGTGACGCCAGATGGTTTATACGAGTTTAAAGTCTTGCCTTTCGGTTTTTGCTCCGCGCCCGCGACATTTCAAAGGCTTATGGACACGGTACTTTCGGGATTGAAGTGGAAGACGTGCCTAGTCTATCTGGACGACGTTGTAGTATTTTCAACGACTTTTGACGAGCATTTCCAAAGACTGGAAGTTGTTTTACGTGCCATACGGTCTGCGGGCCTAACATTGAAACCGGAAAAGTGTCATTTCTGTTTCCACGAACTTCAGTTTCTCGGTCACGTCGTCAGTAACGTAGGCATCCGACCCGATCCTGGAAAAATTGCCGCTGTCGCACGGTTCCCAGTACCCTCCAATAAGAAGGCTGTCAGACGCTTCCTGGGCCTTTGTGCCTATTATCGCCGATTTATCGCAGACTTTGCCCGCATCGCGTCGCCACTAACTCGTCTCACAAGAGACGACGTTGCCTTTGAGTGGAACGAAGAACAGGAGGCTGCCTTTAATGACCTGCGTCAACGTCTTCAAACGCCCCCAGTGCTTGCCCACTTCGATGAAGAAGCCCCGACGATGCTTCACACAGACGCGAGCAATGTTGGTCTGGGAGCTGTGCTTGTGCAGCAGCAAGAGGGCACAGAAAGGGTAATCGCTTACGCAAGCAGAACGTTAACACGTGCTGAGGCTAATTACTCTACAACTGAGAAGGAATGTCTCGCCGTGGTATGGGCGGTTTTAAAGTTTCGCCCGTATTTATATGGCCGCCCCTTCAAAGTAATTAGCGACCACCACTCATTGTGCTGGTTAACAAGTCTAAAAGATCCTACCGGGCGATTAGCGCGTTGGAGTCTCAGGCTGCAAGAGTTCGATATTGTAGTCGTACACAAGTCAGGCAAGCGACATATGGACGCCGACTGTCTGTCCCGTTCACCCATTGAGTCAGCAACCCTACCTGAAGAGGAGGAAATCGCATTTCTCGGTGTCCTCGACACGACCGCCATTGCGCAGCAACAACGTGACGACGCTGAGTTGCTTGGCCTAATTAACTACTTGGATGGCAGATCTCAGAAGGCGCCGAGAGTTTTCGCAAGAGTGTTGTCATCATTTTGTTTACGGGACGGAGTACTCTACAAAAGAAACTTTTCGCCGACGGGATCTGCCTATCTGCTCGTCATCCCAGCAGCCCTTCGTACCGAAGTACTCCAAGCATGCCACAACGAGGTGAGCTCTGGCCATTTGGGCTACACGAGAACGTTGGCCAGAATACAGCAAAAGTATTACTGGCCGAGACTAACCACAGCCGTGAAGCACCACGTCCGTGCGTGTCTCGACTGCCAGCGACGCAAGTCACCACCGACTAAACCAGCTGGCCTCCTGCAACCCGTACAGGTCCCAACAGCTCCATTCTACCAGATCGGCATGGACATTTTGGGCCCACTACCTACTTCTACTGCAGGGAACCGCTGGGTTATCGTCGCGACGGATTATCTGACCCGTTATGCCGAGACAAAGGCTATCCAAAGAGGTACAGCAGCAGAGGTGGCAACATTTTTCATCGAGAACATTGTACTGAGGCATGGTGCACCATCCATCGTGATCACAGACAGAGGAGCCGCATTTATGGCAGCTCTTTTGGATCACGTCCTCATGCTGAGCGGAACAGCGCATCGTAAGACCACCGCCTACCACCCACAAACGAACGGGCTGACAGAGCGTCTGAACAAAACCATTGAAGACATGCTTTCGATGTACGTAGACGTTGAACACAAAAATTGGGATGAAATCTTGCCGTACATAACGTTTGCGTACAATACGGCAAAGCAAGAAACGACGCGCCTGACCCCGTTCAGCCTCGTTCATGGACGAGAAGTACGAACTATGTTAGATGCGATGCTACCGCACGAAGGTGACGGCATCGACCCATACGCCAACACGTTTACGGAACGCGCGGAAGAAGCTAGGCAGCTTGCACGTCTACGGATCCACCAGCAACAAGAGTACGATGCAGGCCGCTACAATGCTCACCGCAGAACAGTCGTCTATCAAACTGGCGACAAAGTATGGGTTTGGACACCCGTACGGAAACGAGGATTATCCGAAAAGCTTTCAAGAAGATACTTTGGGCCTTACCGAGTGCTGCGACAACTGAGTGAGGTTACTTACGAAGTTGTTCCCGACAGTTCGTGTAGTACCAATCGTCGCCAGCACCATCCCGAACTCGTTCACGTAGTGCGCATGAAGCCTTACGTGAGCGAGTGATTGCGTGAGACTTTTCTTTTAAAAAAAAAAACTGCATTATTGACTTCGCATCGGGTCGATGCTCTTTGAGAGGGAGGCAAATGACCCGTGTCTGCATGTGAACGACAACGATGATGTGGGGATTTAGCAGACACCAAGTAGTGGGTCTCTGGCTTGACTCAACAACAAAGAGGACAATCTTGCGGCTTAGCTGTTGAAAACACGCTGCTCTCGCTGCCTCAAGGCGTACTTGTGCTTTGTTCGCGTTGTACTGCGACAATAGTGCATTCTAAGTTATAGCTAATGATTACTAATGTTTGCGGGTAATCAATAATCAAGTAGGTATTGTTGCAGTATCTTGAATAAATAATTGAAGTCCAATCAGTGTTCAAGTGTAATATCTGTCAGTTTCTTATTAGGAAGGTTCTATTGCATACAAGTCTCTATGTTTTCGTCATCTTGTGTTTAAACTAAGTGCTGTTTGGTATTTTTACTATGGATCTTCACTAACTCGATCGATTTGCCATTCTTCAGTATGTGGTTCACGTGCTTGCAAGACGACTCGGAAAGTTCCAACGTACTTCTTGTCCTTTCAGCAACTTGGGTTGGCGGCGGCTACCTGAATGGCACCGCCGAAGCTGTCTACAAATACGGCATCATCAACTGCCACGCTCCGATTGGCTACGCGATGAGCTTGATTCTCGGTGAGTGCACGATAGTGGTCTCACTCCAATTAATAGATGGCACACCACGCAAAACTGCAACGTTGCTACGGATGACAATATATTCGTACAGCCTAGTCACCAGGACCACAAGCAACGTGTACCTTCCAGCTGCGCTGTCGTTCAGAGCTACTCAGAGTGTGCGCTCCCGCTTTTTCTTGATATTTAAAATAAACATGCACATCGAAACACACACACACACGCACACACACACACACACACACACACACACACACACACACACACACACACACGCGCGCGCGTGCGATGAGCGGCGGAATTTTTTGCTCCTTTAATTTTTTTCAATATTCCTAGAGTTGATTGATTGATTGATATGTGGGGTATAACTTCCAGAAACCACCATAAGATTATGAGAGACGCCGTAGTGGAGGGCTCCGGAAATTTAGACCACCTGCCAAGGGATTCTTTAACGTGAACCCAAACCTGAAGAGACGGGCCTACAGCATTTTCGCCTCCATCAAAAATGCAGCCGCGGCACTGGGGATTCGATCCCGCGACCTACGGGTCAGCAGCCGAGCACCTTAGCCACTAGACCACCGTGACGGGGCATCTTTAGAGTTGCGACGTCACCAAGAGAATAACACCACTATTACGGCACCATTTTGAAAAGGTCCCAGGGCTATGTGTTCTTGGTATACGTATAGGCTAGTGCACAGCAGCAACACAACTGAATTTCGATCTCTCGGTTGTTTAGGGGCTCCTTAAACAGGCAACGTTGGCGATGAACTATTAAGAGTATAATGGTGAAAAAAAAAACTGAAAATGGTGGGACTCTGGTCATTACACGTGTACGTCATCACTTGTTTTCGACACCATTTAACTGCTGCCTGTGCAATTCAGCGCGCGGACTACGCAGGTAGAATGGGTTCGAGAACAAGTGTGCCTACATTAAACAAGAGGGTGAGAGCAGCAGAATAGCGAACTGTCCCTTCTTTTCAGCAGTTGCCGGAGCATCTTCGTCATATAGGAAATCCGCGAATATTTTCAACAAGCCTGTGGTTCTGTCATTCTGGTGTGATTGAGTCCTCTAAGATATCTGGACATGCCATTAGCGCGGAGCATATTCGCGGTTTCTGAAGCATCGTAATCTCGTCTATGCGTGCAGGCGGCGCCTTCTTCGCGACCAAGATGCGGCTGACGGATTCGCTGACGATGCTGGACCCGTTCCAGTCACACTACGGCCGCTGGGCGGGACTGCTGTTCTGCGTGCCGGCCGTCATGGGCGAGATCTTCTGGACGGCTGCCATTTTAGCGGCTCTGGGCAAGTGCTGTAATTTAGTGGTGGTGGCATCGCGTTGCGGGAAGCATGATCACGGAAATAACAAAACAATCGCCGCTAAAGTGGAGGGTCAGAGGACTCCTGCAACACTTGAACATTGTTAGAAAACGCTACCGATCTGTAACCGGGGCTCCTGAGAACGCGCGAGCCAGATATTACAGCGCAGCACCGGCAGCACATGGCCCGGAATAAAGAAGAATTTCTCGAAAGTCAGCTGTAGCTTTTTCCCTATGTTTCTACTAACGATTACATATACCCGAATACGCAGCCATCGGCTGATTTGAGCAGTAAGGGCCACATAGTTACCGTAGCCGCCAAAAGGAGGCCGTCACGTGTCCGCGCTCTCGCTCGGAATCGCACAGAATGGAACTCACGCTTTCGAAGATAAAAATAGGGCTCAAGGTCATGGCCCCTCGCGTGACGTTCCTTTTTTCCCTTGACATCTCTCCTTGCTTAGCTTTCAATGCAGTTATCGGGACGAAAGCAAGAGAAAGCAATTATGGTATGCAACAAATATCATTTTGCTCGAGTTTGACGGTTTCTAAAAAAAAAAAGTGGGGCAGTCGACTCGCGAGGCATTTGACTCGTTTATAAAGCCATTCGATGGTTACTTGTAAAATTGTTGCAGTGTCCCTTTGCGTTATTTACAGCGATAACAAGTTCTCGTGTAGCACTCTATCCTCTGAGATAGCGGACGCTATAGGTGGATGTATATAGTACATACGCTGCAGCTTATGCAAAGTGCTCCAGACAAGTGCCGAATAGCCAGCAGGCTGAACTAAACCACCATTCCCGCAACCAAACGTTGTCACAACTCTGGCACGGTGGATAGTGCTGCTACTATTATTAGCGCACCAGCCAAGCGTAGCCAACCACCAGCTGCTGTGAGAAACCGGTTTATTCAGCCAGGCTCGAGCTAAATCACGCTGGTGATGATATTTACAGATGAAGAAGATGTACAAGTGATGATGATACCAAAGAGAATAAAAAGTCGTTGGCTTGTCGCGCTCACACTCATTCCCCCACGCGGTGAAAGCGGCTGCCTGGTCGCTTGACAGTATTATGAAATGCGTCGCGCATAAGGCTTTAAACGAGATACGTTCACTATCTCTGTTCCTCGGCAACGGTGATCAGGACTAGCGCTCAGAGGAGAAACGCGGTAATTGACGGGAGATGTCTGTTCGACCACCGTGTATGGCCCGATGAAGCGACTGATGAATTTGTCGCATAGGCCGGGGACGCGTAGTGGAGTCCATAGAAGAACTTCGTCACCAGGGGAGAAACTCACAACACGGCGAGACGAGACGTAGCGAGATTTTCGAGTGTCTTGAAAGAGGCCGGTGTTAACACGGGCCTGGTGACGGCAGTGTGTGAGACGAGATAGGAATTCTTCAGAGAAAGAAGCCGTCGAGGGTGCAGGGGCCGAAAGGAAAGAGACATCCAGAGTGAAATTTAGCGAGCGACCATGGACGAGAAAAAATGGAGAAAAGCCGGTAGTGCATTGAGCAGCCGTATTATACGCGAATGTCATGAAGGGCAGAATCGCATCCCAGTTCGTGTGGTTGGGGTGAATGTACAAGGCGATCATGTCCGATAGGGTCCGATGAAACTGTTCAGTCAATCCATTGGTCTGCGGGTGGTAGCTAGAAGTGGTCTTGTGAACAGTGTTCGAGGCACGCAAAACTTGCTCGACAATGGGAGAGAGGAAGACTTTGCCACGATCACTCAGGAAAATGCGTGGAGCTCCATGACGCAAAAAGATGTGGCGAAGAAAGAAATCGGCAATCTCAGTGGCAGTCCCAGATGGTATAGAAGCTGTTTCTGCGTAGCGGGTAAGGTGGTCGACGGCCGTGACAATCCAGCGATTCCCGTTGGATGATATAGGAAGAGGACCATACAACTCGATTCTAACGACTTCAAAAGGCGAGGCGGGACAAGGAAGAGGTTGCATTAAGCCAGCCGGAGCAGTTGTCAATCGTTTTCGTCGTTGGCAATGGACACAGGAGGCGACGTACTTAGCGACGGCTGAAGAGAGGCCAGGGCAAAAACAACGACTTCGTATTTTGTCGTAAGTCTTGTGATAGCCTAGATGAGCGGCGGTTGGATCATCATGAAAGGCTTCCAGAACTTCACGTTGCAGAGAACGTGGGATGACGGGTACCCACTTGTTGCCATCGATGTGGTAAATGTAGCGACATGAAGCATCACCGACAAGCTTAAATTGTTTAAGTTGTCGACGGAGTCGGGCGTTTGGAGGAGTAGTAGAGCCGGTCAAGCGGTCAACAATGGCGCGGCAGTATGGGTCGACACGTTGTTGTGAAACAAGGACGGATAGAGTGGCAGGTAATGAACTTAGCGCTGCGATCGGAGAGGTGCTGTCGTTTTGGAGTATCGATGGTGAGTGGCTTCCGCTGGGCAAAAGACAGCGCGATAGAGCATCAGCATCTTCATGCTTCTTCCCAGATCTGTAGGCGACATCGAAATCATACTTCTGCAAGCGAAGCGCCCAGCGGCCGAGGCGACTCGATAAGTTTTTCAGCGATGAAAGCCAGCATAGGGCGTTATGGTCGGTCACGACGGTAAAATGACGGCCGTGAAGATATAGTCGGAATCTTTGCACTGCCCAAACAACAGCAAGACACTCCTGCTCGGTGATAGTGTAGTTCTTCTCTGGAGCGGTAAGAGCACGACTTGCGTAAGCAACGACGCGTTCGCGTGAGTTTTCGTCACGCTGCAAGAGTACCGCACCAAGACAATGACTACTTGCGTCGGTGTGAAGGATGGTGGGTGCGGTGGAATCAAAGTGGCACAGTACGGGATCCGACGTGAGGGCTTGTTTCAATGCCGTGAAAGCGCTTTCGCAGTCTTCGGACTAAATGAAGGGGATGTTCCTTGCGAGGAGTTGATGGAGCGGAGACGCAAGTTCTGCGAAGCCAAGTATGAAGCGCCGGAAGTAAGAAGATAACCCAAGAAAGCTGCACAGGTCCTTTTGACGCAGTGGACGAGGAAAATCGAGGACAGCGGCAAGCTTCTCGGGGTCGGGCTGAATTCCTTTTTTGCTGACAAGGTGGCCGAGAACCTTGATTGTCTTGCTAGCAAAGGTACATTCCTTGGTGTGAAGCTGTAGACCGGCTTTTGCAAGGCATGTGAGGACTTCGTCAAGACGTTGTAGATGCTGCGAGAACGTGGATGAAAACACTTCTATGTCATCGAGATAGCACAGACATGTTTTCCATTTCCAATCACGCAATACGCCGTCTATCATGCGTTCGAAGGTGGCGGGCGCATTACAGAGTCAAAAAGGCATCACATTGAACTCGTACAACCCATCTGGCGTTGAAAAGGCGGTCTTCTCTTTATCGGACTCCGACATTGGTATCTGCCAGTAGCCTGACCTAATGTCGAGACTAGAAAAATACTCTGCACCCTGTAATGAATCCAGTGCACCGTCGATCCGAGGGAGGGGATAAACATCCTTGCGCGTTATTTTGTTGAGCGCGCGGTAATCGGCGCAGAAACACACTGTCCCATCTTTCTTTTGAACGAGAACAACTGAAGATGACCAGGGGCTCGAGGAATGACGTATGATGTTGCGTCGTAGCATGTCTGAGACGTTTTCCTCGATGATCTTGCGTTCTGCCTGAGACACGTGATATAGACGCCAATGTACAATACGAGAGCCGTCAGTCTGGATGCTGTGAGTAGCGGTGGTAGTCATGCTGAGGGCGGGCGAGTTCACATCAAATAGAGAACGGTGTCTATTTATCAGGGCGAGCAAATCTTCAGTTTGATCAGGTGTTAAGTGAGTGCTTATTATTGCTGACACATGTGTGGCAGAGGCATTGAATGGCAGTGATTGTGACTTCGGAACATCGTTGTGGTTGTTGTTCGGAAGAGTAACAATCGCAACAGGCTCACTGTCGACCACGCAAGATACTGTTGAGCCACAGGGGAGCAGTAGACACTCGGGCGTTTGATTTATGGTGGTTAGGTACGTAGACCCATCGAAGAAGCGAGTAAGTAAGTCCTGGTGTGATCACAATGCCCCGACGTAGGGTATGACCGTAAAGGAGAATCAGTACGTCACCATCCACAATGTCGGTGCAATTAACACTTATAATTTCTTCGATGTATGGCCGAAGTACATAATCTGACGTGGTGACAAGGCGGATGGGTCCATCGTGTTCAAGCGGAGAAGAGTCAGTGGCATTTAGATGGAGGAGGCGCTGATGACATGACATAAAAGCGGACGCAGGACAAGAAATCCCACCCAAGAATGAGAGCGTGGGTGCACTCACGAAATACCGCGAAAACAATGTGATGACGAATGCCTTCTATGCAGACACGAACGGTACACTGTGCAAGTGGACGAATGAGAGCGTTGGTCGCCGCACGTAGAGGTGGGCCGCCATAAGGTGTGGTGACTTTTTGAAGGTGGGAACAAAAATCAGCACGAATAATCGAAACCGCAGCGCCAGTGTCTACAAGAGCCTCAACGCGTACACCTTCTACAAACATTACTATCAAATTCGATGGCCGCTCTGGAGGAATAGTTAGTTGTCCGGTGGATGCAGTTTCCCCTCCTAAAACTGCATTGGAGAGTTTTCCGCGTGGGCGGTCGTGGAATGGGAGGCGGGCCGCAGAGGCGACACTGAACGGTGACCTGGCGAAGGCTACCTGCGGCGAGATGTACGGGAATTCCCAGGCATGTAAGTATGGTAGGTAGCAGGCGGTGAACCGTAATGGGACGATCGGGAGGGTGGTCGTAGGTAGTTCATGGTCGGACGGAAGCTTCGATGTTCTTCGGGAGCGTAGCTGCGTTGCTCGTCTTGTTGGCGCCTTCGACAAAACCGAGCGATATGTCCTCGATAGCCGCAGTAGTAACAGATTGGTCGAGGTGGGCGCTGAGGTGCGTAGTAAGGTGGTGCACGCACTGGGCGGTGATAACGAAGCCACAGGCGCATGGTCTTCTGTTGTAGGCACAGAAACGATGGGTGCGGCAGAGAGTGTGGCAACTTCGGCGTACGTGCGCGTCTGGCGCACGCAGGGACCGTTGGAACACGTCGAACGCGATGCGGAGGCGATCTATTGTTTAATCAGGTCTCGCAAGCTATCTATTTCAGAAGGGAAAGTAACTTCCGCAGCACAGGAAGAGCAGTGCCTGTGAAGCTCTTCACGAACGATGTCGCGAATAAGCGCACGCAAGTCGAGGGGTGCAGGCAAACGAATGTCGGTGGCATCGTAGCAAAGGCGAAGAGACTGAAGCTCGTCAAGTCGCTGACAGGCGGTTATCACGTCCTGGGTGGTGACAGGATTTTGCGTGGCGAGGGCGTTAAAGGCGACGGTGTTAATGTTTTTATTAATGTGTCGTATTTGGTCGTTCTGAGACATGCCGGTGTTAACGCGCTTGCACAGTGCAAGGACATCCTCAATATATAAGAGGTGTAAGATTCACCCGGAAGCTGCGTGCGTTCAGCGAGTTTCTTCTTTGCTGCCTCAGTGCGAACTGCAGGGGCACCAAATATCTGACGAATTTGCTGCTCGAAATTGTCCCAGTCGGGAAGACCCGGGTGTTGGTTCCAGAACCAAGTTTTCGCAACACCGGACAAGTAAAATTGGACGCTGTGCAACTTCTGTGGATTGTCCCACCTGTTCAAATCACTGACGAGGTCGTAGTTCTTGATCCAGTCTTCAACATCATCGCCTCGGAGACCGGAAAACACAGGTGGATCACGCAGGCGAATGTTGTTGGGCGGAGCGGGTGGCGGTGGCTGCAGTAAGACGGTGACGTTGGATGGGCCAGGATTTTCTTGGGCCGCCATGGCAGAGGGTTGTATGCAACGACCCGAGCGGAGCTCCAGCGAGAACGGGCGAGAGGACTTGAGGGAACGAAAAGCACAGTCCACCACTTGTGAGGAACCGGTTTATTCAGCCAGGCTCGAGCTAAATCACGCTGGTGATGATATTTGCAGATGAAGAAGATGTACAGGTGATGATGATACCAAAGAGAATAAAGAGTCATTCGCTTGTCGCGCTCACACTACCATAAAAGCACCACAAGGCTTCAGTGATAATAAGCGTCCTAAGCGTACGGTAGGTTCTGAACGCGCTATAAAGGCGAACGCCTTATATTATGCCTTATGCCGCATCAAACGCTAAAGTGGAGTGTCATCGTCGAATAACACGACGGGATGGAGCGAAATCCTGACTTGATGACGTCAAATGACGTCACGCATGGCCGACGTTTTGTATAACGTGGCGTTACACGATGACGGCTATACGTGACGACCGACTTCGCTTGCTCTAAAGGCAGCCCGATACCGGAGGCAGTGCAAAACCAAACGGGATGCAAAAATATAGACGTGCCTTTGATCTCTAAGGCAATGTAAGATCACTTTAGGCGCAGCAAGCTTTCGGAGGTGGGCAGAGGACTGAGAAAAAGTAGATGAATAGTTTTCACCTTCGAGTCGTCATGTATGGAAGGTAATGAAGGATCCAATTATTTTTTAATCACTGTTACCGCTGTAGCCTTCCTTGTGCTCTACTAATATCAATCAACCAGCAATTAAACCAGATACGCGAAACATGTCTTGCGCCCCTGCGAGGACTATACTGACGCAACAAATAATATACTTGAACTTGATCAAATACTTTAGTTTTTTTCTGTCTGTGTGTAGCATTGATCGCCTTAGCTATGCACGACTAAACACACCACGGTTATTTCCTCTACTTTTGTCTTGTGACTTGTGTTCCTGCAAGATCCCCTGCCATTGTGGCTAAGAATATACAGTGTAAATATACTGAAGGGCATAAGCGAACAGTCAGGCACAATCGAATCACGCTTTCTACAACCCCTACATACGTCTTGGCGTGCAGGTGACACGGCGAGCGTGATTATCAGGGTTGATGCTTCGTACTTCATCATCATCTCCGGTTCGGTAATCTTCCTGTACACCTCGCTGGGCGGCCTCTACTCGGTCACGTACACAGATGCCTTTCAAGTCACCACCACCGCTATACTTCTGGTGAGCACGAGCAGCTGCGAGCTAGACCAACACGCCGACAACAAGCTACGAAAGAAAAACTGCGCTATATATAACTTGCACGCGACTACATGGATGCCTCTTGTGAACGTACCGGTGCTCCGATATGGTGACTTCGGTTACAAACAAGTTGCGGTTAACCTGGTTCAATGCGGCAACGATGTGCCTCTGTGTATACATAGATAACGAAAGAACGCGCGTGTGATGTTTTGATAACATCAACGTTACATCATAAACATCGCCACTCCTATGCTGGTTCTCCAGCAGGGCGGTTGCAGTGACGTCAATGCAAGCTGCATGTATGTTTGAGTGTTGCATACTACAGTCTTTCTTGTCAGGACGAATATCAATATGAAACCTGAACACAGCCTTCAGTTATTAAACATGGCCGATAGCTATATCTATGGCCACATGTCGTCTTGCCCTTCGTAATGTGTTTAGCGTCCCATGCTCTAGAACAGGGGTTTCAAATTCATCTCAGGCATTGGTTTGCAGTAACAAAATTTAGTCCAGCAAGGGCTGGGTCAGGGAGGAGGGTAATGGGAGAGGGAAGGGGGTTCATTCACAGAGATAGAAAACGTTGCCATAGAAAAATAAAAATTACCCATATCTCATATACAGGTCTTTACTGAAGAAGACTTGGGGTCAGGATTCCGTCCAACAACATGTCTATACCGATCTCCAAAATGAGTAAAATCTCCATGCTTGTTTTGAAATAGTGGTTTCGTTTTACGGTTACGCTTCATCACACAGTGGCCACAAGATGTGCCTCACGAAAGCAGTGCTTTAGACCAGCCATACCTGTAGCTCACGCGCATCATTATGAGAATGATGGAGGAAAATCCATGTGCAGCCTTCGGGCCGAGGGCTTGAAACACCAGCCCTAGAGTAATATTACAGAGGAAAGCTGGAGTGATTCAAGATGGCCGATAATCTATGTCATCTAATAAAGAAAAAGAGCTAAGTCACGCATAAAATTATTGGGAATTTTACTACATACCACATCCCGGTTTCTTGTAATTCAGCTTAAAGAGGATCACTGTGCATCGAGACACGGGTGGTGATTAAAATCGCCTCCCCCAACGAAACTGCAAGCTTTGTTTGCCCTGTGCATGCGTCGTTATGGAGCCTTTCACGACAGGTATCGATGTGTTCGCAATTTAGAAAAATTGAACTAGTGTCGAACGAGGCTTTCTCCCGGGGAACCTTCGCACCAGCTAGCATTTGCCAAACGTTCTATGAATTTTCTGAAGCACAGCTTTCCAGCCTAGTATACCCAAGTACAAAGTGTTACGTACCGTGCAAGCCGTGCTCCGCACGATGTGTTATGAGAAAATAAGACGTGCACGTAGATCTTCTACGCTTTCTCTAATACTTTTGAGCAATGAAAGACACAGCTCACCATCTTCGAGACAGAGATAGAGCTTGCGCTCTTGAGGGGGTCACGTTAGGCAGACGGCAGTAGCCAGTGTAGCCCTGGATTTGGGGGCCCCACCCACCAAGCTCATGACCCCTTGTCCCAAATCCGTATTCATATGCTTCTTCCTCTCTTTTGCATGCTGCACGTGCAGTGGGCGTGCGTGCCTTCTTGCGTGTCCCACAGGGCGGTGGGCACCCTGGATGCCCAGTACACCAACTGGATTGGCACCATCGCCAGCGAGGACGTCACTCAGCTCCTGGACTTCTTCCTCATGACAGCGTTCGGAGGAATCCCCTGGCAGGTATAAAGAGGAGCGTTACGTATACATTTGGTGCCATTTTAATATGTAGAGCTTGTCAGAAAACTATAAAAGCTCGACCCTTTGTATCTAGAGCAAGAGCGCTCGCATTCATTGGATCTGGTCTTGCGATGAGCTAGCTGTCCCTCTTTGCGTCGAGAGCACAGACATGTCGGCTGCGGCATCAGCTCTTTTCACCACTCCAGCTGGATATTGCATTGAGGGGCGTAGGCAGAAATTTTCCTTAGGCGGTGACACAATTTGGGGTTGTGGAACCGCTTGACATCGTCATTTTTAGCTTTTTAGTGCACGGACCCGGTGTTCTACCCCCTGGCTACACCACTTTTCCGAATGGCAGAAGGTTCTCAACGAGGAAACCAAGTTGTCATCGCGGGACAAACTTTGAGAACTACTGAGGGGGAATGCACTGCGAAATGCAGGACTTGCCAAATCATCCAACTGTCAACTACACTGAATTCCAACTGTTTTAAATGTGCTCTGTAATTCGTGTCCTTATATTTTTATTCGATAACGGTTCACCGAGCAGCGGTTTCCACGCAGGTCTACTTCCAGCGAGTGCTTGCCTGCCCAACCGTGACGGAGGCCAAGATTCTTTCGTTCATGGCGGCCATTGGTTGTATATTCCTCGCCGTGCCACCCGTCATCATCGGAGTTGCCGCCAAGCATACCAGTGCGACACCTGTTTTTACTTCTCACTCAAACTGATAGCATAATCACATGCGTGCGCGGGTCTCCCGGCCAGGCGCATAGCCCGAAATGTTTTTCGGGGGCAGGGGGGGCACCACCATGGTTTCGGGAAGGGCACCCCCTTGAAATGGTCATTTTTAGCTGCGTATGTCATGGCGAAAAAAAAATTGGAAAGGGCACTTGCCCGGTGTGCCACCCCCTGGCCCGGCCCCTGCTTTTGGGCTCTTAAAGAGATGTACGTGGCAATGAGAATACGTTTCGAATTACTAGTATCGGTGCAGTATTAAAAAAATAAAGCAGACTCTGTAAATTCCGAAGTGTGTTTGGCGAAAACCTGTGGCCATTGAACTGATCATTCTGTCTTTTTTAAAGTTTTTCTTGTTTGCATAGCACTCCCAGTGGGATGGCATTATTTTTCAAAATGTCTGTGCTCAAAATGTCTGTGTTTAACACCAAGCGTAGTACGTGCGTGTAGGTACGCGCGGTGATAAAGGCCAACTCACCAGGTTCGCCAGTATTTGAGCTGATGAGCGCAATGCATACATGGGGCGTTCACGATCACCTCTGCCAAAATTAGCGATGATACGCGCCGCGGGAATGGCTCTAAGTTCAAGATGAATGCTGCTTGCCCTCCCGTTCGCGGGCGCTTGCCCAGAGAATGAGGGCATGACGGAGACTTGGAGAATTGCCCTATACGCAGACGGTAGTGTTGGGACGTCGGCCCTCTACGCAGACACTTGTGCACTGACATCGCCAACAGTATGCACATGAAAGGGCTAAAATTGTTTCACCCTTTTGTACCTTGTGTAACTTGTTGCTTGAATAGAAGAATAAAAGTTGATATAAGTAACGAGACATAAAAAGTGAATGCGTGCGTCTTTTTTTAAAATTTTTTCCATTTGTGAATTGTGACGAGATGCGTGGCTAATGTGCCTGTGTTCTGCATGCCTTCGCGTCCCCGCGGTTGGTGCATCGAAAAGACGCCAGCCCTGAAAAAGAAAAAAAAAATGGTACTGCGAGTTCCAGCACTCAATATGATCATCTATTCTACCACGTATGAGCTGGCTTTTCCCAATGAGCGCGTACCGAGGAGGCAACCATCCCGCAGGAACAGCCAGCAGACCACAAATTAACGCTGGTCAATAACACAACACCTCTCACGTTCTCGGAAGTTGGACTTGTTCGGGGACGTCATGCGCCTTTTGACCGCTTGCTCGGATGCCGGAGAGGAATAGGGAAGAGATTTGGCTTGCGAAGGCTACGTGGGGCGAGCTGCAAGGGTTTCGAGCTCGGCTCCTCTCATCGTGGTTTCGCGCCATTTCAAAATACTGGTTTCCTATAGGCACTGCGCCGTGTCGCCGTATGGCAGACAGAAATGAGGTGCCTTTCTTCCTCTCTTCAAAAATCACCACCACCAGCAGCTTGTATTGAGCCCATTTAAAACAATTCTGGTGGGATATTGCTCTTCGAACTAACGACTGCCAGCGTCTAACTAGAGTTTATTATGGAGCATGGTGAGTGGGCCTTTAAGGCCGCATCAATAAGCATCCAAAGGTTTCCATGGAAACAAACGAAGGTCGCCGTGGCCGCATTGCCACCACCACAGGCTGCTTGATGCGTGACCAGGTGACCATGGCGACATGCAGCGTAAACATTGAGGAAAAAGCACGCCCGCTTCATGTCTCTATCTTTCTCCGAGCTATAGCTTCTCTTCAAATGCAAATGGAAGTTTCCCTGGTATGGAACAGCGAAGGCTGTGGGCGGAGCATACTTACTTTTAAGTTGTAACTGATTATTAAGAAAGAAAAATTGAATTTTCTCTCTCTTTAGTGTCTCCCTTAAAGTAGCCCTATGTGGTTTTTCAGACTTCACTATCGCCGGCTATCCGCATTCGTACCAGCTGAACGACGTGGACAGCCCGCGGGTGCTGCCTTTCACAATCGTGTATCTGACTTCGGGCATGACCGCCATTTTCGGCCTAGTCAGCATCGCTGCAGCCGTCATGTCTTCTGCCGACTCCTCCATGCTCAGCGCCTCCACAATGATCACCAGGAACGTCTACCAAGCGCTTATACGGCCAGCAGTAAGCGAACGCCATATGTTTAGCTGCAGGGCGGTGCTCATTATTTAAAGTGTTAAAGGGACGCTAAAGCGAAACGATAAAACTTCGTTTAAACATTCTCGAAAATTTCGTGTTATGCATTCTTCCCCATACGTAGCTTTATTAATAGATAAGAAACTGGTTGGTAAACGGCACACTCGAAACCATATTCAGCGCTAGCAAACAAGGACGCAAGTCGTACGTACCCCTTTGCTAGCGCCGATTCTTTCCGAGCTCATTGTCAAACGTTCCGCTTGTGAATCTCCCGCTCAAATATTCGATGGTGACCTCACGGACTTCAAAGAGTTTCCTTGTATTTTGGCCTCATTGCATCAACAAAATTTCCTGAAGCATGGTACGTTAAGTATCTGGTTCCTTCGGAAGACAATGTACTCAGTAAACGCCGTCAAAGTCTGTGACGTCAGGGTGAATGGTGCGGGAACTTCATGACAGCGTTGCCACCAGGGCTTTCTTTTTGCACGTACTTTCGTTCACCAAGCGGATTCTCACTGCAAGCGTAGTGTTTTGGTATCGTGAAAGAGTAAATCAGTAATACAAACAATATCGCATTTTTAAAACATAAACTTCAAAACATAAAGTTCAAATATACACAACAGTCGTGTACAAAGTCCTCTTATGGTAAAGGGAGGAAGAATGGCAACGTTTGATCTTAGCATGCTCGCGCCCAGGCCACGGAAATGGAGGTTGTGATCACGCTGCGCATCATGATCTGCGCCTTGGGCTCGCTGTCCGTCTACATGGCACTCTCGGTGAACTCTGTGTTTGACCTGTGGACACTGTGCTCGGACATCGTCTACGTCCTGCTCTTCCCGCAGCTCCTGTGCGTGTTTTACTTCAAGGAGACCAACGCGTACGGCTCAGTCCTGGGTGAGCTATATTGTTCGACCTCTTCGGCTGCATAGTGAAAGAGTGCATACCTATGGGTACATACCTAAGCAATAGGCTGCAAAGATTACAGAATTTGGCTATTGGGCTGGTGGCACACTTGATGCCTTCTGACGCGATACATCTATAGTTGGGCAAGCAATATTGCGACCTTTGACAGATACAAAATATGCCTTGAAGTATTACAATAAGATCATCATCATCAGCAGCATCATCGTCGTCATCGTCGTCATCATTATAATAATAATAATATTTATTATTATTATTATTACCATCATCATTATCATCATCATCATCGTCATCATCATCATCATCATCGTCATCATCATAGTCCTGACTACGTCCACTGCAGGACATGTGTGATTCATTCGGGGTTCGGACACAGTTCTGAAAAAAAAAAACGTTCTTTCGAAGACTTTGTCTATAATATGCGATATGTAGGTGTACACCACCATAATCCATTGTTTAGCCGTCATTAGTCGGCCCCATATCCGACAATAATCTCCATTCAGGCAACACGAGCCAGCAATAGCCGGGGACCGAGGCTAACGAGGGCTCGAAACGAACCTTCACGTTACATCTGTAGTGTGACCCTGCGGAGAGCCTTTCGTAAAACGCACGATTCGCCAAAATACAGACGCCAGTATTATAGATGCGAACTGCAGAAAAAAACGGAGAATTAAGAAAAAAACGTTTTTTTTGTTTTTTAGGCACAGGTAAAAAAATTGGCCGAAATTTCCGCGGGGTAAAACGTACGGAAATAAAGCTTGGGCGACAGCGAGAATTATGAAGCCGCGTGCTAGCAGATTCTGCAATGGTTGGGCCAATTTCCGACGTGCGGATGCACTTCGTGGTCGGTGAGACCATTTGTGGGAAACGGGGACTCACTGCCTGTAAGCAATGCAATAGCAGTAACGCTTTTTTCTATATGTAACATGACGAAGAAAGCTACAGATGAAGCCAGTGATACGGACTCTGAAGAAGAGTTTGAACTTCATCTTTTTACCATCTTGATCAATGCTTCCAAGTCGAAGCCACGACGAAATATACATTTCTTGGTTCTTTAACATTACTGCCGTAACAACTCTCGGAAGCCACAGTCGCTTACAGACAGCTAATTGAGTTCGCGGTGATGCTACTGGCCTGCCTTCGATCTGTTAAACGCTGTAATCGTTTGTGGAAAGAGAGAAAGCATCTTATTCCTGTTATTTACATAATGAAAGTTACTTCTTTTGACACTTGACAATGAACTATTACCATATGGCAATAAACTATTGCCATATGCTAAAGAAAATTTCTTCTTTTTATATTTTTTCCCAAAATTTAAAAAACAAAACGCGAAAAAAATGACTTCTTTTTTCGACTACTAAAAATTTGCGGAAATTTGGCACCTCTAGTGTCTATCCGGCTTTCGAAGTCAGTGGCATAAATGATAACGGGATACCGTGTCAAGTGCTGTCTATAGCTAGGAAACCAGACAAAAATGATCTAGTTCTCTGGCTACATGTGGACGTTTAAGCAGGACATGATTAAGAGACTGATTATGCAATCTGTGTCTCATCTGCAATCTACCGGGACTGTGCGAACGACACTTTGGTACATACTTGAAGTGACTAACGAAGCGAGAGCAAAACGAACACATGTTACAGTTCATATACCATCACGGGATTAACTTCCACGCAGCATTCATCGTGGGCGGTGTGTTCCGGTGCCTGTGCGGCGAGCCCTCCATGAACATACCCGTCCTGGTGCGCCTGCCCCTGTACGACCCCGTGGCGGGCCAGCGGTTCCCGTTCCGCCTGCTATGCATGGCACTCGGGCTGTGCACGCTCCTGCTCGGCTCGTTCGCGGCCACCACGGTCTTCCGTCGTGGCCTGCTGCCCGAGCACTTCGACGTGTTCCACTGCTTCGTCAAGCGGCCGCCGATGTCGCAGCTACGGGTCGACCAAACCACGGGGACATGCATGGCGGGAATCGATCACACGGCCACGGCGCAACACGCCGTCTCTCGTCGCGGCTCCACCACGGACGTCGCGGTCACCGAGAAGGAGGTCCCCTTGGGGATTTCAAAGGACGACCACAAGTCGTCTCTTGTCGTGCCTTTCCAAGCCAGGGATGACGGTGGCGGCGGCCACACCAATAGGCAATCCTGCTTGGCCCCGCACAAGAGGCGATCGGACGAGTCAGAAGTGCATAGGAACGCGCGCTTGGTCGCCTCGGGGTTCACCGGAGCAATCGTGCCGTCGTCCAGGGTGCTGGAAACGTCGCCAGCGGAGGACGCCATGGCCGAGCGGAAGACGTTGCACAAAACATCTATGTCTGGCGGCGCCAAAGGCGGATGTAAAGCGACACACAAGAAGTCCGTGGCCGGCGGATCCGAAGGCTTGACGGACGGAGGTGTCTCGCGCCTCTGAACGCGATGGGCTGGTTGGAGTGACTATTTTTGCGTGTGGGCTGCGCGCCCTTTCGTTTAGAGAGAGAGAGAACACAACTTTATTGTCGTCAGACTTAAGGAGGTAGGTGACCCGCCAGGCTGAACCTGATGGCCACCTCCTCTGCCCTTTGTACGGCCTGGAGCTGAACGGCCAGGCTGGTGGAGGTCAGAACTGCCTCCCACCCCTCTGGCGAGGGAGCGGCTAGGAGATCGAGAGAGGGGGGATCTTCCCTGCAGGCCCAGAGAATGTGATTAAGTGTGGCTATTGAGCCACAATGCGAGCAATGCGGATCAATCGAGTCGGGGTATATACGTGCATAAATGTATGGGCACGGAAATGAATGTGTTTGCAAGCGGCGCCAGATAACCTCCTGGCGCTTAGTTAGCTTATGGTGCGGGGGTGGTTTTGTCTGCCTCGAAAGACGGTAATATTGTGTGATGTCATGGTAGGATGTCAAGGCTTCACCAGGGTTTCCAAATCAGAGGCGGGTACCACCGCTCGGCTGACGAATCCTCGAGCATATAGGTGGGCCGCCTCGTTCCCTGGGTTCCCCGCGTGAGCCGGCACCCATACCAGCGCAATGGAGGATAGTGCGTCTTCCTCAGCATCTGTAAGGAGACTGGGCAATAGTAAACGCAGAGTTGTGGGGGCCACAATGCCACGTGCGAAGTTGGATATAGCAGCCTTTGAGTCACTGAGTATAGTGGTGAATCCGGATGCTGCTGCTAGCGCTATCGCCGCTTCCTCAGCTTCTGTCGTATTAAGCACACGGACAGAAGCAGCCGCTTTAATTTGAGGTGAATTGGCGTTGTTGCCGGGGAGAGTGATTACGCTTATTGCATATGCTTTAGTAAACTCTCGGTATTGGGCGGCGTCAACGTACGCAACGGTTGGGTTGGACGCGTACGTTTTTTGCAAGAATTTGGCCCTCGCTTTCCTTCTACCGTCGTGATGGCTGGCCAACATGTTCTTTGGCAGTGGTTTTATGAGGAATTTCTTTCTGATGTTGGGGGGGATGACAGCCGGATCGTTACCGTAGGAGATACCACATGGTCAATGTTAGCAAGGATCCAACGCCCCGTCCTGCTTCCCTGTAATCGGTGAATTTGCGCCGTAAGATGCGCTTCAAGAAGTTCTTCTAAGGTGTTATGCAGCCCAAGACTGAGGAGGTGCTCTGTCGATGTGTTTCGGGGGAGACCCAATGCCACCTTATGCCACCCAATGCCACCCAATGCCACCTTTCGTTTAAATTTCTTTTGCTGCGAGGCAATATTTTTTATTCGTGCGATTTTTGTTCTTCTCACCGATATACGAAAAATATGCTCACGCTATTAGTGTATTCAGAAGTCTGTTAAGCGTTTTCTTTAAGTATAATGAGTATGACCAATCTAGGTGGCATTCATATAGCGCAAGATTTATTCGTAGCCATTACACAAACGCTGTTCAGGTGTCTTCGAGGATCATCCCAGCACAAGGGAATTTCGCATTGTAAAAAGTTCGAAGAAGGCAAGAAAAGGCGACGTTTAGGGAAATCTTGGTTAATAATAGTGAGCACCAAGTATAGTTTCCACTATTGAGATATTTGCGTTTGTGGCATCACAAAGTGCTCTGCTTTCAATTCTTTTTTAATACTCACATCATACCGTAGTTAATGTGTGCGTTCGCTATAAATTCGCTGCTCATCACAATGCCCGTGTACAGCTGTAATGATTAAATTTGTCTAAATGAGCCAACATTGTATGTAATCGTGTCCACTATTCTTTAAATACGGCATTCTCCGCTCCGGCAATGTTATCGCTTCTTATGCTGTCCCTGAAAGGGGTTTCGACCGATGAATGTGTCAATGGCATACTTTGTTATACTGCTATGTTGAAGGGCTTGCGTACTCGGCATCCCCAAGATGCTTCACCCTTTTTTTTTTGTGAGAGCTGCGTTGAGGGACGTTGCCGTCGCTGGCATAGTATACATGAAGAAGAAAACAAACTACAGAGAATAAAGAATAATATGGAGAAAATGTCCAGGATCGGATGGTATTTGTATCCGGGCTTTCTCCGTGGCAGTACAGTGTACTACCACAGAGTCATGCCCTTTCACGCAACTTATTTGCAAATATATATATATATATATATATATATATATATATATATATATATATATATATATATATATATGCGTCATGTTTGGCAAGGAATCTCGTTAACCCGAGCAAGATAGCGTGGCGAAAGAGTAAAATAGCACCCAGACATCCCAGAAGGCTAATTTCACGACGAGAGTGCTTTATTGAATCCTGCCCACTGAAAAGCAGTATTTTAGTCATCGGAGGAGGAGGAGGAAAGAACTTTATTCAGAGTCCGGCGAGTAGATGGGGTGGGCGAATGGCCCAGTTCAGGTTACGGCCAGGAGTCTTTGAATCCTGGCGGCTTCCTCGGCCCGCTGGACGGCTTACATTTGGTCTTTAAGGACGGGGCCGAGCATTGCGGCTTCCCAGCGTTCGCGAAGGCTGTCACCAGAGGCCTCATACTCGTTATGGGCACTAATCTCTCTACATTCCCATAACATATGTTCCAACGTCACCCTGGAGTCACAACACTTGCACCTGTCCGTTTTGTATATATCAGGATATATAATGTGCGAGAGTGTAGCATCGCATACGTCCTAGTTTTTAACTGCCACCATTCGACAGACTGTGTTTTTGTTAATTTTGGGTTAGGGGGCGAGAATATGCCCCTCTGTAATCTAGTATTTTTTGTCATGTCATTGTATCTGGTCATTCCGTCTTCGCACTCCCACTCGTCTGCCGCGCCTTAATCACCGGAGGAGGCTGGGCCGGCTCTTGAGAAGGCAGCTCGGTCAGTGAGCCCTCGAGCTGCGTCATGTACCGCCCCGTTGTTGCTGTCCCCCGCGATGGCATGAGCAGGTGTCCATATAGTGTATGCATTTCTGGGGCTTGTTCGACACCCTCCACGTAGAATACGTAGTGCCTCCAGGGAGATGCGGCCGTTGGCAAAGTTTCTCACTGCCGTTTGAGAGTCACTATCATAGTTGCGTTTGTCTGAGCTACTGCGAGCGCTATGGCTTCCACTGTCTCGGTACTTGTGGTGCGTATCATCACGCATGTCGTACAGCATTTGTTGCTATCGATTACGGCTGCCGTAAATTCCCGTCTGCGCTTGTATCGAGCAGCGTCTACGAAAACTGCGACCTTGTCATTACCGAACTTTTTTTTTGTATTTGCTTTGCCCTTGTCTCTCGTCTTGCCTTATTGTGTTCAGGGTGCATGTTTTTTGGCAAGGGGAATATCATCACTGTTTCTCTCGTCTCTCTTGGGATGTCGACCTTGACGCCGTGTTGTGTGTGATACGTCATGCCTAGTGGCTCCAAGATATGTCTTCCTGCTCCTGTCTTAGAGAGACGTTCATATTGCGCCGCGCGCTGTGCCTCAGCGAGCTCATCTGTGGTATTGTGCAGGACTAGCTGTAGCAGTTTGTCGGTGCTTGTGCTACTCGGTAGCCCTATGGCTAGTCTGAATGCTTTTCGAATGAGGCAGTCTAACTTGACCTTTTCCGCGACTTGTAAGTATGGTGCTACGTATACTATCCTGCTTATCACGAATGCCTGTATCAACCTTTTCGTGTTTTCCTCCCTCATGCCACTGTGCTTAGTTGCTATCCTTTTTATGAGTCTCATTATTTGGGCCACACTGCAATTGCATCCAGTCGTCTGAGGGTTTCTCCGTTGTTGCCCTTGGCTTCGATAAGCAGACCCAGTACCCTTATCTTATCGACTATTTTTTATAATCGCACCATGACATAGTTTATATTCATACGTTATTACGTGTGTTCTATTATAATAAATACAATTCCCTCCACTTTGCTTCTCGGCTATAAACCCCATAAATTTTTTCTCTGATGCTTATGTGCCGGTCCTAATGAAACAAATTTTCCTCAAATAAGACCGCTGTCGTATTGTCGTGATGATAGAGGCAACTGTTCAGTGTACCCAGTAGTGAGGGAAAAGAGTAGTTTTGATCTCGCGGCTGCTTTAATATTCTCACTCGTATGGGGCTCACATGAAGACATTCTTTATCCCACTACAAAAGTGTCTTACATACTCTTAGCCGCCTGGCGTCCCGAATCGGGGATATGCCAACATAGCTAACTTGTTCGACAGATATGGTCCTTGTGGTCCACGTTCCTTGGAAGTCCCACATTCTAAAGGCGAATAAGCTAGTTTGACACCACTGCATGTTCGCAATAAAACAGAAATATTCCCCGACAGGCTATGCTGCTTTTTAACTATAACAAATATGTGCGTGAAGAACAGCTCATGAGCAATATCGGCTTTGTTTTTTTTAACATGGAAGTGTTTTACGCCGGAGTCCTCCACGAACCCACTATCATAATTCTGTCACAGGTAGGACGTAGAAAAATATATACAAATAGCAAAAAAAAAAAACTCCGCGATGGCCAGAATTTGTCGTGCGGAGTCGAACCTCGCCCGAAAGAAAGTGCCGGACTATGAATAAATTTTATTCATTCAGTTATGCAAACACAAACGCGTTCACCATGCAGTTAGTTCACAATAGAAGCTTGAAACGAACATATCCTTATTCAGCGCGCTTATTCTCAACGGCACGGGACGCTGCCAACAGCTGTATGATCACCGCGACGTCCAAACTGACCCAAAGGCTGCTCTTCAGGGCTCGGTTTGTGCTAAGTGCTTGAGAGAAAGGCGTTAACTGGCTTGCAGCCTCCAATTAACGCAGGTAGAAGAGACCATCGTTCTCCTCAGAAGTTTCATTGCGGGGAGAATTCAGTGTACGGACATCGAGTCCATTTTTATTTAAAGGGGGCAAATGCAGGCCTCTAGGTCTCGGAGTAAACACTCCTGTACAACAAATGGAGACTTGTGTGCCAGAGAGTATATGCGTTCTGCGGTTTTAAACGATTTTAAGCAAAACACGTGAGCTAACTTTTGCA